ATATTGGCCTGTAATTTTCTTTTTTTCTGTTGTCCTTGTCGAGTTTTAGTATCAGGGTGATGTTGGCCTCATAAAACAAGTTAGGAAGCATCCCATTCTCGTCTTCAAGTTTTTGGAATAGTTTGAGAAAGATAAGTATTAAATCTTCTTTAAATATTTGGTAGAACATTTAAACAAGAGAAGCCAGCTGGTGGTCCTGGATTTTTGTCTTTTGGGAGGTTTTTATTACTGTTTCAATCTCCTTACTAGTGATTGGTCTATTCAGATTCTCTATTTTTCTTGATTCAGTTTTGCAAAGTTGTATGATTCTAGGAATTTATTCATTTCTTCTTGGTTATCAAATTTATTCGTATATAGCTTTTCACAGTATTCTCTTACACTCCTTTGTAATTTCTGTGGTATCTGTTGTAATTTCTCCTCTTTCCTTTCTGATTTTATTTATTTAAGACTTCTGTCTTTTTTTCTTAGTCTGGCTAAAGATGTGTCAGTTTTGTCTACCTTTTCAAAGAACCAGCTCTTAGTTTCATTGATATCTTCTACTGTCTTTTTAGCGTGTATTTTATTTATTTCTGCTCTGATTTTTATTTTCTCCTTTGACTTTGGGCTTTGTTTTTTCTTCTTTTTCTAGTTCCTTTAGGTATAATGTTAGACTGTGTATATGAGATTTTTCTTGTTTGTTGAGGTAGGCCTGTATTGCTGTAAACTTCCCTCATAGTACTGCTTTTGCTGCATCTCATAGATTTTGATATGTCATGTTTTCATTTTCATTTGTCTTTATGTATTTTTTCTTTTTATTTCTTCATTGATCCAACAATTTTTCAGTAACATGTTGTTCAATTTCCATATATTTGTGACTTTTCCAAATTTTTTCTTGTAGTTGATTTCTAGTTTCATAATATCGTGGTTGGAAAAGGTGATTGATATGATTTCAATCTTAAATTTACTGAGACTTGTTATGCTTCCCAACATATGGTCTATCTTTGAGAATGTTCCATGTGCACTTGAGAAGAATGTGTATTCTGCTATTTGTGGATGGAATGTTCTATATATGTCTATTAACTCCATCTGGTCTAATGTTTAATTTAAGGCCAACAAGTTTCCTTGTTGATTTTCTGTCTGGATGATTTATCCATTGATGTAAGTGGGATATTAAAATCCACTACTATTATTGGGTTGCTGTCAATTTCTCCCTTTAGGTCTGTTTGGTGCTCCTATATTAGATGCATATATATTAATAAATGTTATGTCTTCTTGATAGATTGTTCCCTTTTTTTAATGTCCATCTTTATCTCTTGTTATCTTTTTTGGCTTGAAGCCTGTTTTGTCTGATATAAGTATGGCTATACTCGCTTTCTTTTGTTCGCCATTTGCTTGAAGTATCATTTCTTATCCCTTCACTTTGAGCCTATGTTTGTCTTCAGAGCTGAGAATGGTCTTGTGGAGGCAGCATATTGTTGGGTCTTGTTTTTTAATCCATCCAGCCACTCTGTGTCTTTTGATTGGTGAACTCAATCCATTTACTTTTAGAGTGATTATTGATATATGATGACTTAATACCACCATTTTATCTCTTGTCTTCTGGTTGCTCTATATTTCCATTGTTTCTTTTTCCTTGTGTTTCTTTCTGCCATTTCAGTTTGGTGGTTTTCTGTAATGTTTTTCTCAGTTTCCTCTTTTTTTAATGTTTTGTGTCTCTGCTCTGAATTTTTGTTATGTGGTTACCATGAGGTTTGTACAAAAGGTTTCATAGATAAGATAGTCCTTTGTCTGCTGATAGCATCTCGTCTTCATTTGCCTATGCAAGCTCCACCCCTTTCCTCTTCCCTTTCTATATTTTTGTCATCACAAATTATCCCTTTTTATGCTGTGACTTTGTTACCAAATTGAAGTGGTTATAGTTATCTTTAATGCTTCCTTTCCCTTTAAGCTTTATGTCATAATTAAGTGTTTACTAACCTATTCTGATATAAAGTTGCAATTTTCTGATTATGTCTGTCTATTACCTTGCTTCAAATTTTGTACACCTTTGCCTTTTAGTCTCAGGAGGGCTCCCTTCAACATTTCTTGTAAGGCAGGTCTAGTGGTGATGAACTCCCTCAGCTTTTGTTTGTCTGGGAAAGGCTTTATTTCTCCTTCATATCTGAAAGATAACTTTGCTGGATAGAGTATTCTTGTCTTACAGTTTTTATCTTTCAATATTTTGAATATATCATTCTACTCTCTCCTGGCCTGTAGAGATTCTGCTGAGAAATCTGCTGGTAGCCTAATGGCAGTTCTCTTATGGATTATGGGATTTTTTCCCCTGGCTGCCTTTAATATTCTTCCTTTGTCATTGACTTTTGACAGTTTTATTATCACGTGTCTTGGAGAAATTCTTTTTGCATTGAGATAATTAGGTGTTCTATTAGCTTCATAGATTTGTATGTCCAGTTCTTTCCCCAGGTTTAGGAAGTTCTCAGCTTCTACTTCTTTAAATAAGCTCTCTGCTCTCTTCTCTCTCGCTTCACCTTCTGGGACACCGATTATCCTTATGTTGTCTTTTCTAATGGAGTTGGACAATTCTTTTAAAATTTCTACACTTTAAAAAATCTTAGTTCTCTCTCCTCTTCTACCTGCATCATTTTCTTGGTTTCTATCTTTCATCTCACAGATTCTCTCTTCCATATGGTCTGTTCTATTTCCAATGCTTTCTAATGCATTTTTCGTCTCATTTATTGAGTTCTTCAGCTCCAGAATTTGTTTGGTTCTTTTTTAGAGTTTCAATCTCTTTGGTAAAGTATACCTTCTGTTCACTGTTTTTATTCCTGAGCTCATTGAACTGCCTTTCTGAATGTCCTTGCAGCTCTGTGAGTTTCTTCATGACAGGTATTTTGAATTCTTATCAATTAGATCACACTTTTCCATGACTTTATGTTTGGTTTCTGGAGAATTGTTGTTTTTTTCTTGTGATGCTGTGTTAGCATCACAAGAAGACCATCATAGCTTTTCATGGTGCTGGCTGAATTATTTGTCTCTTTTGTCATTGTGAACACTTTTCTTATTTAGGTATAGTTTTGTTTGTTTTGATTCCAACTATTCAACCCATTGGAGATTAGAGGCCTTTCTTTTATTTTTCAGTAGGTGGTGCTATAGCACAAGTTTTTGTTTTCTCTTACCTGAGCTGCCTCTGGCTATATTTGAGGACCAGCAGGGTCCACCCTCCAACTGCTTCTAATAGGGGTGTCACCAGTAATCTTGTTTCTGCTCCCCATGCCTCCAGGGGTCACTGATCCCTTGCTGTTGCCAATGTTGTGCAGTTGCTGGCTTCACTTCTGGGGCTACAGGAATGGTTGAGGCCTCTATCGCATCAGGGATCACCTGGGTTGGAAATTCCATGGCCATAGAGGAGGGAGGGAGAGAGAGTTGGGTTTGCAGGGCTCTGCCTTCACTGATGCTCACTTCCTTGTGGCCCAAGGTGCTGCTTTCGACAGGAGGCTGGATTTGTGTGTGCTCCTCCTCTGCTGCTACCAGGCTCTGAGCCACGGCCTGGGGCCTGGGATCATGGGGCTCTACCCCCACTGCTGCTCCAATCCCTCTGGCCACAACTTTCACTGTGGCTAGGCACCTCTGCTGCTGCCCACTGGATTCTCTGGGGCTAGGAGTGGCTGACTCAGTTGCTGCAGCCGGGGGCCAGGATCCTGTGCACTGCCTCTGCTGTTCCCCCAGTTGGCCTCTTCTATGTGCTCCAATTCACCCACCTACATATGTACCCATGTGTGGATCTCTCCAGCACACTGATATGTTGTGCAGTGTAGCTTTTGTTGGGTTATGGATGCTTTACTTGCTGTAGGTTTAAGGAGTGAGACAAAGGGATCCACTCACACAGCCATGATGATGATATCTTATCAAGTTAACTTTTTCATAATTAGTTTCATTAAAATATATTCCAGTGAATTCAAGTTCTTCATCAAGTACCTGCCTTTACTATAGTAGTCATTGGGAAATGATACAAACAATCTAAGAACTATACCCTTTAGATAGTTATGTGTTATTATTTGGGCTACTTAAAATAAATAATAATGCCTAGGGCCAAATGCTATACTACTGTTCTGTATTAGAATATGTATTCTTTAAGGCCAGATGTTACATCTTATTCTTTGATATATCTCCAGTGACTGTTACAGAACTTAGTAGATAAAAATACTTCATGCTTTCCAAAAGCATGAAAATACAGAAAATGTATGCACAAAGCAAATTTGTTAAGCCAAATCTAGTAGACATTATTATAAGTAACTGAATCAAATTTCTGATCATATTCACTGAATCTACAATGTAATTTATTATTGTAATGAGAAAACAGACTTGAGGGTTCTAATCTGCTATTTTGGAAACTGAATATTACATGTTTTATAGCTGAAACAGTTTTACACTAAAGATCTTCAGTGAGATCACTTTTTTGAAGCTATTCTAGCTTCATAAAAATCATAGTGAAATAAAGAACATATTTAACCTGTATAAAAAGTAGGGTATTATTTTGATCAGCTTTTGATCAATTTTATATTTTAGATTTTCTGTATCTAAACATAAGAGTAAAATCAAAAACAAACAAAAAACAAGAGTATGTATTTAATACTAATCAAACCAATGCATAAATGTTTACACAAGTCTCAAACACAGGGCCTAAACACCTTTCTTAAATCTTTTAAAGGGTATCCAATATAAAAAATGAGCATTCCATTCTTGTGCATGTCTAGATACGTGCTATGGCAACATTTAAGTTTTGCCTGATGTCAAGTACTCTGTTTATTTAGGAACAATAGTTACAATTAAGTTTGAATTTACTTCTCAGACAAAAGTCCTAGGTGGAAATTTATTTTATTGGCTAAAGAAAGTATTAAAAAAAAAGCAAAACTCAGTAAGGAGGGAGGAGAGAAAGAGAGGAAAAGAAGGAGGGAAGAGGGGAGAGAGGGAAGAAAGAGAATAAGTTTCAAGTGAGAGATAAGCCTGGTAAATGCCCTTACCTTCACTTCTTTTTTCTGTCTGTTTTGCTGCATTTTCTACTTTTTTTTGTTTTGCTGCTAAGAGTTCCCGCTTTAATTGTCTTGCTTCTTTTCTGAGCTCTTCACTATAAAGCAAAAACAATTATATAAGTATACAATATACTGAGAAAGAAAATTGTTTAGCTAAAACAACTAAATCTGGTTTTCAGGTACACTAAATCTCAAAGAAAAACAAAGTGAATAATGTAATTCATTTTGTTTCTGTGTATGTGTATTTGTGGTATGGAAAATACTTAAAGGGTATTTAAAAAGATGCAATTTTTCATGATAGCAATATAATATGAATTACTATAAAATATACCCCCTTTCAAGTATATCAAACAGAAGTACATAAGTGAGAAATGACCTATTATTCTCCCTCTAATTTACTTGCAAATTTACCATTCTAGTTTCAGTTTAATAATTCATGAACACCCTGAATCAAAATAAAATTTTTAATATAAATACTATTCACTAAACTTGGTGATACACAGGGCCAGCCCCGTGGCTTAGGGGTTAAGTGCACGCGCTCCACTGCTGGCGGCCCGGGTTCGGATGCCGGGAGTGCACCGACGCACCGTTTGTCCGGCTATGCTGAGGCCGCGTTCCACATACAGCAACTAGAAGGATGTGCAACTATGACATACAACTATCTACTGGGGCTTTGGGGGAAAAAAATAAATAAATAAAATTATAAAAAAAAAAAAACTTGGTCATACACAAAAAGATTTGGCTTAAAAACTTGTTGAAGTCCTGAACTGGCACTAGTAACTACCATTTATTAAGCAATTATTACATGCTAGGTGCAACACTAAACGTTTTTTAAACTTAGTTTTTAAACTTAATTTTTAAACCCATTTCATACTACAATTTGACCAATAATTTCCTCTTCTGTGAAACCTACTAGGCTGAGATAGTCTGATAATAAATGTAATCATATATTAAAGGCAAACTGAGACAGAAATGTTGACTTCACTACAAGTCGCTAGTTAAGTGACTAGTTTCTATAAGCCAGTTTTAGGGCAAGAGATTCAAATTCACTCTGTGGAAAAAATTATTAACTACCTATGTCAGGAACCCTTAGGGTCACTTGCGAATAGTCAAAACTACACATTTTATATCTGTGAATGTCAAGCATCCACTCTATTTTCAATAAAAGCTACAGTGGATCACAGAGACTGAGAACACTGTAGCCCAAGCAGGCACCCCTTTCTGGAAATAATCTCTAAAGAGACCCAAGCCAAGGGTTAGTGGAATCTTAGTCTAAATAGTTCCATACTGAGTCAACCTTTAGTGCTTCCTCCTAAAACCCAAATCTCATACGTTTTTACCATTGACTTATATTAGAGTCACCAAAGTGATAGGTTTTACAAGGTGCATGACTCAGTTCTTTTTACCACTTTTTCACACCAAACACACACAGCCATATTTTGTATCTGCTTGGCCTCCAAGATCCTGAATTCTGAAACTTTCCTCTCTGATCAAAACCCACTTACTCTTTTAGCTTTCTCGGTCTTTCATGCCTACTGTACCTGTGCTCACTCTTATAATAACGAAAGCCAACTCTTTAACCACAGTTCATGGTCCACCAGCCCTATTCTGACCCCAACTGGCTCTCTATCCATTCTGGATGTTATGGTCAGTAATTTCACTGATGTTCTCACCAGCACCCTTAATTTTCTTGACTTGTTTGTCCTTACAAATACATCATAATCACCTAGGAGAACTTGTTAAAACATGTTCCAGGAGATAAATCTCCAGAGAATACGATTTCCTTAAATGTGGGATGCTGCCTGGGAATTTGCCCTGTGATAAGTTCCCCAGATAATTCTAATATGCCTCAGGTTAGGGACCCAATGCATTACGACCTTATTATAGAAATTATCTTCGCTTTCTTACAACTTCAAGCACTCTTATTTCAATGATCCTTTCATTCAGCCAACAAACATGCTCAAATTTCCCTGGACTCTGTTCCAATCAAGTGATTATTATCTTCACAAGTGGACTCCTTGCCTGAAAGAATAGTTTATGCATACAATCTACTACATCAACCTTTAATTTCTTAATCTCTTGTAATATATCCTTTTTATACTCTACTGAAACTGCCTCTGTATCAGCCTTTTGATACAACAGCCTTTTCTCAGTCCTTGTCTTGCTCTTTGGCCTCTCTGTCATTCACTGATAATAAGCATTCCTTCCTTCTTCAAATTCTATCCTAATCACTCTTATATACCTCTTCAGAGTCTTGACTCTCCAATTCTCCTTCTCTTAGTTACTCTTTCTCTTCTCATCCTATAATGTTGGGAATTTTCTTATTTCTATACCCTGTACACTGGTATTTTTATCTACTCTCTCATAACATCAACTATCACTTTTATATAGGTTATTTCCAAATCTAGATGTTTTGCCCTGATTTTGGTCCTGCTTTTCTAACTATCTGGTACAAATCTCCATGTACAATTAATGCTAATAGAAACATAAGGTAAGAAATATACAATTTTAGTTTCCTAGCTGCCACATTTTAAAAAATGGTAAAAGGAAACAGGTTAAATTAATTTTAACAACATATTTTATTTAACTCAATAACTTAATATATCAAAAATATTTCAAGATATAACCAATATAAAAATATTAATATCATACTTTACATTCTTTTTTTGTACTAAATCTAAATCTGGTGTGTATTTTATACTTACTGCACATCTCAATTTAAACTAGCCACATTTCAAGGGCCCAGATCTACAAGGATAGTGGAGGCTAGATATCACAATATTTACAAACTCTCTATGTCCAAACTTGAAGTCATTTCCTTCCTGCCCAAATCTGTTCCTTCTTCTGAAGTCCCTATTTGATTGTGGAACCATTTTCCTCCTAATGATCAGACTTTAAACTTCCTCTGGGACTGTTCCCCTTTGCTTTCACTGAATCACTGTTGAAGTACGTCACTTTCCAATCTCTCTTACATATAACTGCTCCTCTTGACTGTCACCATCAATGCCTAGTTTAGGCTCTCATTATGTTTTTCTCAGATAAATGTAATTATTTCCTATTTCTTGAAGTTATATGAGCACAGAGAATAGCAACTACATCTTTGCTCTGTCCAAGAAATACCTTTATCTTTTTATTACATAAGTTTAAAAATTTTTTACTTTGGTAAGTAATTCAGGAATTTAGGTGATGTTTTCTGAAGGTCTTTGAGGGGAAGATTATTTTGAAAGTTGAAGAGGAAATGCTGCATGATGGCTGAACAAGCTAGTTATGAGAGTAATTTGAAGTATGCATAAAATGAAAAGCAATGAAAGTATATAGTATTGCAGAGACAGTAGAGCACAGTTATTAAAAAGATTAACTCTGGATTCAGAAAGTCCTGATTTAAACTCCATCATTTATTATCTGGGTGACCTAAGAACAATTACTTAACTTCCCTGAGACTCAGTTTCCTCAACTATAAAATCAGAGTAAGGTATTTAAAATATTGGGCAATCAATACATGTTCAACAAATGGTAGCTATTATTATTTAGATATGTTCAAAATAGTACTATAGTTAAGGGCTGTTTGTCATGTAGAAATATTTCTTTACTATATTATTTACTATAAATGAATGCTAACTCAACTACATATGGAGATCAACTCTATTCATAATTTTTAAAAAGGGCAATGAATGCATAATACTAGCTTCCAAAAATCTATCCTTAAATAGTCAAAGATTTAGACACACTATTGAAGTAGCCTCAATAATATACAAACTGAACAATGATGAATAAAAACTCAAAAAAGACAGGGGCCGGCTGGTGGCGCAAGCGGTTAAGTGCGTGCGCTCTGCTGCGGCGGCCCAGGGTTTGCCGGCTCAGATCCCAGGCGCGCACCAACACACTGCTTGGCAAGCCATGCTGTGGCGGCATCCCATATAAAGTGGAGGAAGACAGGCCTTGATGTTAGCCCAGGGCCAGTCTTCCTCAGCAAAAAAGAGGAGGATTGGCAGATGTTAGCTCAGGGCTGATCTTCCTCACAAAAAAAAAACCCGAAACCAAACAAAACAAAAGAAACCTCAAAAAAGACAAAGTGAGATGGAGAATGGTAGGTCTACACAGATTATTAAAATATGCTTAATTATACTGAATTTTTCATGTGATTAAGGATTTACAACATTGTTAAAATCTTTCAGACTATTCAAACTACACCATTTTTATCACTTGTGGAATCCATAACTCTTGGAATGAAGTGCAAGTTTTTAAACTAGTCTGTAGATCACAGTCTAACTTTAGGGTTCCTAACTTTATATACTCTGGAATATAATCCTATCCATTGGCACTAGAATATATTTAAATCTGTTAAAATGAGAATGAAAATTGTAAGCCTGGAGTATATGTCACCTTATACTACTTACAAAGGAAGTATACAAACTAAGGGCTTGCTTTAGAGTCCAGGCAGCCTCTTTCTGGCTCCCTCAGAGCCTAGTTTCTGCTTGTACGGTAAATGAAATGGCTTCTCTAAGCTGCCATTAATTCCAAGCTAATTAATTTTTTGCCTAACAGGTATGTTTCTAATTTGAATTCATTTGAATTTCAATATAGTTTATATGATATCACCATTATCCACCAGATAATTCTGCATTGTGTACATTTTTATCTGGTAAATCTGTAATATGCTCTGCTCCAATGGAAAAAAGAATTTTCTTAAAAAAAAATCAATCCAATAAAATATCAGCAGCCTAGAAATTATAGTAGCCTTTATATATTTAGTAATAGCAAAGAAATTACTAATGCAATCAACAATTTCTAGAGCATCTAATATTTGTACAGTACCATTCTAAGAGATGGCACAGAAATTAAGATGAATAAGGAGGGAAAGGAACCTAACTTTGCTAGATTCTTTAAATCAGTTACTTCCCACATCACTTAATTTTCTCAATTACCTGTGATATAGGCATTTTACAGGTAAGAAAGATGAGGCTTGCAAAGATTAAATACTTATCCTGAAGTCACACAGGCCATCAGTAAGTGATAGAGCTAGAAACTAAAAATGGGATTACCTGAATTCTAAGTCTATGCTCTTTTCAATATGGTATACTAATAACTTGAGAAA